GAGGTTTATGGATTTTATGAAAGATTCCGGTGCATTGAGGTGTATCATACACCGTGAGGATGCGAAAGAACGACCAATAAATAGTGCCATATTTCAAGCGGTTTTAACATGTTTATATACTATTTAATATATATTTTTTAAAATTTAAGTGGTGGCCCGTGTGACCCGCAAGCTCGCATGGGGCGGGCTTGGGCTGTATAGTTCTAAGCCCGCGGGCTTCGCGAGCCGGCCCGTAAAAGCCCACCAAACAAAAAGCCCGCGGTGGGGCGGACCTAATGAGGCGGGCCAGCCCGCATTGACACCCCTACCTTTTAGCTTTCAGCTAGATTTGCCAAACATAGTCATGATTTATTTTTTCAAACATCTACATATTTTTATAAATGTCCCATTTTTTAAGAACTTAGATCTCCATCCGTTTATTTTTTTAATGGATAAATGAGATTTATTCTCAAATTTTACATGAACAATTATTGGAATACAATTCTTTTTCTATATATAAATAGAGAAAATTGTAATTTATACCACTCATAAATATGTCACTCCTGAATGTAAATGTTAACCCTCAAATTTTAAAACGTGATATATATATTGCCCATTCCCTGAATTATTAGTGATGTAAATGTGGTTACTCGTCGATCGTTTTCCCTGTTCGAAGACCACATTTTTCCTCTTTTTTTTTTTTTTTTTTTTTTTTTTTTTTTTTTTTTTTTTTTCACCAACAACAATGTTTCTCCTTCTTCATATTAGGGAAAGGGCAATATATTTCATGTTTTGAAAATTGAAGGGCAACATTTACACCACTTATAATTCAGGGGTAACATTGATAATTGACATATTTATGATTGGCATAAATGACCATTTTCCCATATAAATATAATTGAATTGTCTTTTTTATTTTATTTTTATTTTTTGGAAATATCGAATTGTCACTTAAAGACTTAATTCTCAATTTGTTCATACGTTTTCCTTACATTTTGTATCGAATATTCCCCCGTGTTCTGTTTTTCATTTCTTATTTTTTTTTCATACTATCTAGGTGAAATACAAATATTATAATTTTACGATTAATTAAAAAGAAGTTCCGAAATGCAATTTGTTGAAGGAAAAAACAAACATGTGACCCCATTTTGTATTACTAGGCACTTTTATAATTTAAATAATTAAAAATATATGCTATATATAATTATATATACCCTTGTATAATGCTGACAATTTTGTGGGCTCATATGTGTACAAAGTTTCACACCTTTGACACCTTGAAACCCCTCAATGATGCTGAGTTTAATAATTAATTAGGTTGAAACGTGAAATATAGAACATGAGAAACTAAATTAATATAGTTTGACTTCCATTTGGAAGATTATAAGTTCGAGCCTCAGTGGAGGCGTTATTGGTTCTTTGTGTTTCAGTAGGTTGAGAAAGTATATGAACAGATACTACAATGTAATAGAGCCAGTAACTTTCAAAAAAAATAAAAAAATAATATAGTTTGACACATCATGATTGTTGTTTAGTGAATGTTTTGTTTTTGAAGTCAATAAAATTATTCTATTTATTGTGTTATCAAATTTAGTTATTTTTCTTATAGCCTGTCTCTCTTTGATGTTAGCTTCATGAAAAGATTCTGTAAATTTCAAATGTCATCTCCTATATTTAATAGTGAATAATCCCCAATATAATTAATAGTATGATTAGAGATTAGAAGCTGAATGCAATAATAATAGAAATTGATCTTCTAAAAAAAAATTGAAAATTATTGCAATTATGAACTCGATCAAATGGCATAGGATATAAAATTACACTTAGGGTTTGGGTAAGGTTGTCAATCATATAAGGGATATCATTAAGAATTTACTGATCTTTTCATAGAGTTAACAATGACTATATAATAGATGATTAAATTTGATAAAATTATACTCTGTACAAATTAAAGTCAAAATGTGGTGAAATTGATAAGAAGACTAGATTTGAATCAGTTTATTAGGTTATTTCGCTACATTTTCACCTAATTATAGTGGCACGAAGTGGCTCTCCCAAATGGACGGTCATGTGCTTGAACTTTAGTAAGGGCAATATTGACTCTTGGTGTTTCAGTAGATTGAGAAAGTAGCTATAATGAACAGATACTACATTATAACAGAGTCAACAGTATTAAAAAAACTACACTTATTATTATTATTATTATTATTATTATTATTTTTTTTTTTTTTTTTTAAAAACCCTACACTTTTATTAAATGGTGAATGTGGCGTTGGCTGTTAGGTAATTATAATAAAATAAAATTGCACCTTCGATAATAGCTATAACCTTTGATTTATTGGTAAACACTTGATCCTAGCAATTGGTGTCAACTATTGTAACTTGCATTCATTCTGCATTATCCATACTCAACAAATCTTTTAAACATTTTTAAAACAAACATAAAATTCATGTTATGTTATTTACCTTTAATTCAAATTGGTATTAAGTTTTGTACAATAAATCTTACAATAATTTCTTTTATACGTAACATTTCACATATAAGTATTACAATATTTATATTAGAATTACACATTGTAAGTATCACAATTTCAGTTATATGTATTATTACAATATTTATTATTAGTAATAATCATTTTACCCTTATGATAGTATCACAATTTCACATATAAATATTACAGAATATATTATAATTTAAAATTTGTTTATTTCAAACTAGTGTTAAATTTTTTGTAATAAATATTATTATTTCTATCGCAAGTAACAAATAACTATCTTAGATTCAACCTATCTCACGAATTAATATCCATGGGAAGGCTTCACACAAATGTAACTCATTCGTATAATAATAATAATAATAATAATAATAATAATAATAATAATAATAATAACAACAATAATAATAATAATAATAATAATAATAATAATAATATTATTATTATTATTATTATTATTATTATTATTATTATTGAAGTACTACTGACTCTGTTACAATGTAGTATCTGTTAATAACTATATATAATTATTTAATAGAGCCAGTAGCTTTAAAAAAAAAATATAATTATTTAATAATTTAATTGTATACAATTTAGTATCTGTTCGTATAGTATAATTATTTAATCGTATATATAATATAAAATATGCACATCAAGCCATGCATGCTCTTTGCCGTCGGAATTTTATTTGTTTGAACGCATAATAGTTATAAGTTTATTCTCATCAGTCTTTATATAATGGAAACAAACTCATCAAAAGATACTATACAGCTTAGCCTGCAAACTGAAGAGTTTCATTGTGAAAAAACAAGGCTAAATAATTCTAAAATATAATATGTTTAAATTTAAATAATGACCGCAAAAATTGAAAAAAAAAATATTCTCAAAAAGATAGTTTACCTAATAAATACAATCAGATAGTGGCTAGGTTTCCCTCGTCATGCTAAAAAAAAAAAAATTTCACAAGATGTATGAGACCAACAGATATTAGACTGGCGAGTTCACCTTTTCCACTGTTCTAGAATCTTTACATCACTTATGTATACATTCAAGTTAAGACCTTAACTCGATCTACCACAAAAAATAGCTCATCAAGAGTGAAAGTTGGGTGATACTTCTATGAGGCCGTCTCACGAATCGTTATTAGTGAGACGGTGAGGTCTAGATAGAAATGCAATATTTATGATAGAAAGTGTTAGGAACGAGTGTATTTAGATTTTGATGATACCAAACTAAATAGGAATGTAGACCTCTCTTTTACTCTCGTTATTCTGTATCTTTCGTGATAGACGAAAGTTGTTACAGCTCACCATGTGATTCGTGCTCAGTAGCATATTTTCACGAATCAGAGTCGTATTTAGTAAGTTAGAACTATTTGAAGAAGAGAGAAGATCAAGAGAAGGCCGAGAGATCTGCTAAGACCAAAGTTGTGGAAGGGTCTATCTCTCGTGTATAAAGATCTTAACGAAAGATAAGGACAATCTTTCGTTTTCTTTTGACCCGAGACCACAAGTCAAAGACTGACTTGATTAGACAAGATTCATATGCTATCAGAAGCATATTTGTCTAAGTCTCAGTGCTGGGTAAATCATCCTAGACAAATGGTGTCCTAGGAATGAAATTTCAAATTTCAAGGAGCATTTAATGATTAGTACATTCTGTCTGCACAAAATGACAAAATGGTTGGTTACTTTTTGAAACCAACGGCTACACAGTACATCCGCATTTAAGTCTCCTTACCCAGAGGTCATTACACACTGGTTAATAGGTTTGAAATTTCCAACTCCCTCCAACGGATGGATTTCTCACCCTATAAATACCCCTCTTGATCACTTTAAGAAGGTGCTGGTTTTTATCACTCTTTGCTATCTAAAAGCTTTCAAGTAGACCATCCTAAGCTTTCTAAACCAGTGTGTAGTTGTGAAGACTTATTTTCAAGAAGATCATCCATTGATCTAAGTCTTCATAACATCAAGGAAATCTTGCTGTTTTTTATCGAAGATCAAGCAATCTCAAGCCAAGATTTCAAGTTAGAAACTACATCAACATATTCCAACCCTCAACTCTTATGAAGAAGTTGATAGAGTCGGAGTAAACTCGAAGAGTTGAAAAACCTAGTAAGTTGTGGTTCGGCTTAGTGATCAAGGACATAGCTTGGCTTGTTTGTACTAAGGAGTGATAGTGCAAACCCTTTCACGAGTTGCGAAAGAAGAGTGGAGTATGCTTTGTTAACATCCGAACCACTATAAAATCTCCTCTCTCTCTCTCTCTCACTTATTACTTTTGTGCATACTATCATTTGCATTGCATATCATCTACAATAATCACATCTCAATCTTTCCATAACAAAAGCGTGCAAAGAAACGTTAATAAGAACACACAAAATTTTCACTGTGCATCATCCTCTCGTGTTTGGTTTTTAAATTCAAAACGAGTCTATTCACCCCCCTCTAGACTCTCCTTTTACACTACCGGGACCAACAAGTGGTATCAGAGCAGTTTTATCTTTGCACAAGTTTTTCTAAAATGGAACATGATCATGGGCATAGATCTAAACCTCGTGTTTTTAGCCTATCTAAGTTTGATGATTGGAGAGTTCGCATGTATGCCCATCTTTCAGCCATTCAGGATGAAATGTGGGATGTTATCATAGATGGACCTATCACAGTCATGATGGTCAACGCGAATGCAGCTGCACAAGGAGCAGATCCTGAACAACTGATCCCAAAACCTAAGGAACAACTTACTACCGAAGAAAGAACTCAGGCAAACCTAGACAATGTTGCTAGGGACATCCTATACAAGTCTCTTGACGAATCCTTATTTCCAAGAGTGAGGAAATGCACTACGGCATGGGACATTTGGAACACACTGATGGAGATTGGTGAAGGTGATGAACAAGAAAAGGAAAACAAGCTAACAATGGCCATGAAGAGGTTTGGGGACTTCAAAATGACTCCTAATGAAACAATCAGCCAGATGGAAATTCGCTTCACGAAACTTCTTGGAGAAATATCTGATTTGGGCAAAGAGCCAACCATAAAGGAAATCAACCTCAAGATTCTTCGAGGTCTACCAAAGTCGTGAGATATGAAAGTAACAGCGATGAGAGATCATCGAGACTTAAAGACTGTTCAGAGCTCACAGATTTTCAGTGATCTAAAAGCCTTCGAATTTGAGCACGAACCCAAGAGCAGTGAAGAGCCAGAAGCTAGAAATATAGCTCTCGCAACAAACCGGCAAACATCGACATCTAGCAGGTCGAACTCTAATCCTTCTGATTTTTAATCTGACGAACAATTTTCTTTGTGAGGAAATTTAAAAGGTTCACAAGGAAAAACAACTTCCAAGAACTCCAAACATTCCCAAGCTCCTCAAGTCGAAGGCATGCAGAAAGATCACCTCGTTCGAAGAAACAGGAATCTGAGGAGGCACAAGTACTGTGTTATAATTGCCGAAAGCCAGGACATTTCAAAGAGAATTGTCCTCATCCCATGGTCCGCAAATATTAGGATCAAGAACCCAACACAAGCTCTCCAAACGAAAGGAAGGATACTGCCGAATCAAGGAAAGGCAAATCAAAATATGAGTCCAATCAGCCACAACACGACAGGAGAAGAAAGGCAATGGTTGTGAATGAGACAAGTGACGTAGCTGAACTCGAAGCAAGCACATCAAGCTCTAGCTCAGATAGCGAAAGCTCAGAGGGTGAACAAGGACTTCTGTATCTCTTCAATCATGAAGAAGACAAGGACACCTTATGCCTGATGGCCAAAGATGATGAGGTAAACTCTCGAACCTCCTCATCTACTCAAATAGAGTCAAGTTCTGATAGTGAGGAAAGTTCCATGGATTCGGTTGTAAAACTGATGGGGGACTTTGAAGTTGTAAAACGCACATACTCCAAGTTGAAAGAAGAAAACTCTCGACTTATGATTAGTTATGATGAGCTCAGGCGCGTTAGAATAAAAAACATCGAGATAGCCATCGCTAATGATCAACTCGAAAAGCAAGTTCATCTTCTTAAGGAGCAGTGGACAGCAAGAGAGTTAAGGGAGCATAATCTGCGTGAGGTCGTTGCATCATTTACCAATTCATCGAAGATGATAGATCGAATGATGAATGCATCAAGACCACCAAGGGAAAAAGCCGGAATTGGCTATGACCCAAGCTCCTCATCACATATCTTACTGAACAAACCTATGGATCCTTCTTCTAGTGGAGGCTTAAAATCCATGTCCGTTCAAGGACCAACCCAGATGCCTGAGCCAATAAATCTGATTGACAAGGGTAAGGCACCACAAACAGCAAGCCATTCTAAAGGAAAGACTGTCCAACGTGTTGTGGAACTAACGAATGGGAATTTTTCGAAAGACAATCCTAGACATGTCAATAATGTTAGAAGGAATGGATCGAAAGTAAATAGACCGTGTCTATATTACAAAAAGGGCCAACCTACGAAAAATAACCATTTGAAGGTAAACCCTAATGTTAATCAAGGCAAGTTCGTTCAGTGAATCAACGCAAGAGTTATTCACAAGGAAATCGAAAAAATGAACGAAACGGGAATGCTAAGCCTAAGAGGTCACTTAGAAGACCAATGAAAGGTGACAGAAGGAGTGGACCTTTTGAGGAAGACTGGCTTGTGCTTCCCAAACCTTTGTCAAAACCAGAATTCAAGAAGATTCATAGACACAAACAGACTAACTATTCTAAGGTGTATCGCAATCCACCCGAAACTTATTTTCAAAGACGATACAAGGCCAAAACTTTTGCAAAAATCCCTTTTACATATCGCGTGTTTAATGGATATATGGGACCAAGGATGAGTAATACCAACTCTAGGTTCGTCTGGATCCCAAAACTGACAGCTAACCCTCAAGGACCCGAGAGCGAAGGGGTACCTAAGATTGCATAAGTTTTGATTTCAAGATAACAAGATCATATGGTATGTTGATAGTGTCTGCTCAAGACACATGACAGGAGACAAATCAAATTTGAGCAATTACAAAGAAGTTGATGGCCCAAAAGTAATATTTGGAGGGGAATCTAGTGGAAAGACGAGAGGAGTAGGTGACATTATCAAAAATGGAATAATCATTCGAGAAGTGTCTTATGTTGAAAGATTGAAGTTCAACCTTCTAAGTACCAGTCAATTTTGTGACAAGGGATATAAAGTTGAATTCTCCAAGGATAAATGCAGTGTAATCAGTACAGAAAATGGTGATATCGTACTATCTGCTAGTTGGAAGAAAAATATGTATGTTGTAACTTGGGAGCACTCCAAGGCGAATGTCTGTCTCATGGCCAAAAGTGCTGACCTAAGTTGGGAGTGGCATAACAACCTGAATCACTTGAATCTCAAAACAATCAACAAGCTAGCAAAAGGAAACCTGGTAGAAGGCTTACCGAAAATACCATACATTAAGGATAAAAGATGTGATGCTTGTCAGGGCAAGCAAATTAAATCTTCTTTCAAGTCCAAATCCATAGACACGAAGTCTCGACCACTAAGCCTCTTACATATGGATTTATTTGGCCCAGTTGATCCACCAAGCCTAAGTGGACGAAAACACACTCTTGTAGTGGTAGATGACTTCACCAGATACACATGGACAATCTTTTTGAAAAAGAAGAACGAAACTGAGAAGATGCTACCAGATCTACTAAGACAACTACAAAATGAGAAAACAGTCAGTGGGCATGTTTGGTTATTGGCGGATTCGCCGACTTTGACGTTTTAACCACAGTCAAAACGCCAAAGCTATTGTTTGGTTAGCAACAGTTTGTAGCAGCGGATTGCTCCAAACCACTAATTTTAGAAACGCTGCATATTGCAGCGTTTCACTAATCCCAAAACCCCCTTATTACTCTAATTTTAAAAAAAATTATTTGTTGTTTTCAAAATGAGAAGCCTCCGGCTTCATTAATAATAAAGCCTAAGGCTTCTAATTCCTTGCCCATCCGATGTGGGAATCGGATGGGCTGGGATGCAAAATGGTGCGTTGAGCTCCCCTTTTAATGAGGGAGCTCAACGCCCCATTTTTTTTTATTTGTTTTCAATGTGGGCTCAGATTTGATCACACATCACATTTTTTTTTTTTTATAATTTTGATTATTATTATTATTATTATTATTATTATTATTATTATTATTATTATTATTATTATTATTATTATTATTATTATTATTATTATTATTATTATTATTATTATTATTATTATTATTATTATTATTATTATTATTATTATTATTATTATTATTATTATTATTATTATTATTATTATTATCATTATTATACCCTTTTGGTCATTTTACATGTTAACCGCTAATTTTACCAAGCATCTTTTTACAAATCGCTAGTACCATCCGCTGGTCAAACCCGCTAACACAATCCGCTATTCGTTAACCGCTAATACAGCCCGCTAACCGCTAATCGCTGATTGCCAAACATGCCCAGTATCATCAGAATCATATCAGATCAAGGCATTGAGTTCGTAAACAAAGTCATCTCAAATTTCTGTGGACAGAATGACATATTCCATCAATTCTCGGCAGCCAGAACTCCTCAACAAAATGGAGTTGCCGAAAGAAGAAACAGAACTCTGAAAGAAGCTGCCCGAACCCTGATAGCTCACTCAGGATTGCGAAAATGATTTTGGGCATAGGCGATCAACACAGCATGCTATACCCAGAATTGATCTCTCATCAACAAAGCTCATGGACTCACTCCCTACAAACTATGAAAATGTAAGAAACCTGTAATTAGTTATTTTCATATCTTTGGATGCAGGTGTTTCAACCATAACAATGGGAAGAGTCATCTGAAAGCTTTCGATGAAAGAGCGGATGAAGGTCTGTTCATGGGATATTCATAAGTAAACAAAGCCTTCAGAGTTCTTAACAAAAGAACTATGGTAATAGAGGAATCCATTCATGTCAAGTTTGAAGAACAAATGGAAAAGAGATCAATCAACAATGTCACAAATGATGTGAGAAACTTAAGCATACAGGTTGAACCAAACAACACTATCGAAGAAGAATCAAGAAGATTTCTTGATGTCCTATCAAAGATACCAACCTAAGTCTACCGATCAAAATGCAGAGTCTCAACTCGAGCCTATTGCTGAAACAGTTGCACCTGAAAAAGATCGTGGATCTTGAATGCAAGAGATAACCTAAAGGTTCCTACTAAATTTTAACTTAATTATTAAGCTGGACTAGCTCTAGGATCTACTCCAGACAGAATAAAGAAACTAATTATAAAAGCAATAAATGGAACCGTTCACCAGGAAATGTTCACACAGTTCGGAGCTTCATTCCTACGTCTACGGGGCCACTCACGTCAGCCCAATCAACTAGATGATCAACAAGGAGTACAAGAGGGAGTGTAACACCCCCTAATTTCCATGCTAATTAAAGCCTTAAACATGCAGATATCTAGGCAAAACATCAGACACATCGGAAGACTGAAAAAGGATTATATAAACTGGAAGCAAAAGGGGTGCTATGCCACGCTCACCCAGAGGTGAACGCATAGGCTAACATCTGCATAAATCATAAGCTAAAAACCGTACATGTCCAAAGTACTAAAATCTATCCTTGGCACACACTCCATAACAACACAAGATGGGAACTACTCTAGCAGGCTCTAGACCGCGCTCACGTCTAAACATCACCTGAAAGAAACACATAAAAGATGGGACGACGCCCAGTCAGCGAATAATGCTGGTAATCCACCAATACATGTGAAATATCATACATAGATAAGATATATGTTTGTAAAAGCATTTGCGAAACGGAATATGTATATATAAGTTCCAAAACTGAGAGCAGAAATCAACACAAGACTCAAAGCACTCACAATCAACAATATGGGAACACATCCCAAGACACGAAATTTAATAACGACTCACAAGAACGGCTCAAGGCATAATCTACCATCATACAGTAGATCAACACCCGACATGCATAACACAAGAGAATAAGAACACAACCAATGGCAACACATGCCTTTGTGACTACACACGTCATAAGAAGAGATACTCACAACAATGGCTACACAAGCCTTCGTGACATCACTCATC